TTACTACACCTCAATACAGTACATCTATACTGTACCATCAAACCACATCTACACCACATTACTACACCTGNCTGAAGCAAAAATACGTTTGAATTTCCCGCTTATCATATCAGTAACGCCAGAAAGTTCAAATCCCAGAACAGACGAATTTTCCAGAAGAAATAATATAGTTCCCCGTGTCCTCCTGTTTTTTGCGCATCGATAGATTACATGTATTTGGAAGTGATGCGGCGCTGAACGGACTTGATTGTTTCCTTGGAAACGCTGATGTTTCCATCAACTGGAATATTACGTTATTTTCAGGAGCATATATACTCGGAATTTTTTAATTAAAGTGGTCCTTTCAGTAGGTGATAACAATTTCAAGGACATTCGTTTGAAACAGATTCCATGTCTAATCGGTCAGATTAGCATCACTAGCAGACAACGTTCACAGGGGCTCGGTTTCGTGACTTTGAGTAATGGATGACATCACTGAAGAACCACAACACTTAAAAAGGTATTTAACCTTGTCGATACCCTCGACTTTTACAAGGTTTTATAAATGCTGAATTTTAGTGTTGTGGTTATTCACTGATGTTATGCATAACTCAAAATCTGGAAACCGAGCCCCTGTGTGATGACGTTGACAAACTTGGTAATTTCGTATCTAGAATGGTGCTTACAATAAATTTTTGGTACTTACAGATCTTATAATAAATTTATATTGTCATAATTTGTCAAGTTGCTTTATTTTTTGCAATGACCTTCATTGCTAAATGCTAACAAACCTAAAAAGTTCTCTGACTATAGGCCTATTGATACCAAAAGTATCTGGTGGCTATGTTTGTTTACCTATAGGACACCTGGATCTGTATTTCTACACTGACCTAATCACTGTAAATTGCAGTATACAGTCTCATATACTGGAATTTGGTTTACTAACGACATATAGGTAAATGCAACACAGAATGTAAATATACAAGCATGTTCAATATATAGCTTGCTTTAACTTGTATACAAAGGTAAAAGTGTGATCTGTCAGAAATGCTCAAAACAGTCAACATTATTTTACGAATAAAAATCTGGCCTAAATCACCTTTATGATGGTTGTTTAAAATTATAGAAAAATCAGTTAAATACGAAGAAATGGACTCACTTTTCTGAAGAAACCATAAATTCTTTCTTTGTTTTCAAAAGTTTGTCTCCGAGCATTTGAGTTCTGTGGCGGGTTCTGTGGCGTGGTACGTGGCGCGGCGGGAGTTGGATTTGGAGCAGGGGTGCGGTTAGAGGCTGGGTTGGGATTTGCTGGAGGCATTGGAGTACTTGGTTTTGGAGGGATGAGATCAATTGTGTTTGCCCTAGGTTGTGTAGGAGGTCTAATAACGAAGATTTGAGAATTTTGAGAAGAGCCTTGAGCTGAAGTTGGTGCTGGTCCAGGTGGGCATGTTGGGGTTATGTAGGTATTGTTAACATAGGAATATGGAGGGGGAATGTCTCCATGTCCATCTGAACAAATGAAAAAGGTAGTTTTCAATTCATTTATCAACTTTAGATATTACAGCCCATCAGTACATAAACATGTTAATACATTACATAATACACATTTGCATGACAAACAGCGCACATAGTAATCACTAAACATGTTGTCAATATACACAAAAATATACACGTAGCTGCGGCTCACGTCAATTCTCTCCAACGGCACCTTTGTGGATTTTTATGACACCACAAATAGAAATTGATATTACACTATATCTACACCATTAGGCATATATGCCTAATCTTCTCATCTAACTCACCATTTCATAGCACCTATCCTTTGTTGTTGTCAGGGTAAAGGTACTTCTACAAAGAGTCTGAGGGTGTAGAATTTGAAGTCACAGTCTGTGGGCCTGTGAGAAGCGAGGCTTGGCCAGATTCTGGGCTCAAATTCTACCTCTGAGTGTAGAATTTCTTGACAAACTCACACTTACATAATTCATAATGATGTATTCTTTTTATGTTATTCAACGATATACTTGTATGAAGGAAACCGTTCAATGAAAAAGAATGCTCTGTATGCCTATAAACCTCTTTGTCACCTAATTAGGAAACTTGAGGCCATTGTGATGGCATAGTGGATGATTCTCGAACACCAAAACATCATTAGAATAAAAAAATTTGTTCAAGCGATAAAATTGAATAGAAGTCCTGACCATATTTGGTATACATAATGAAATCACTAATCACAAGACCACATTTTAAACAGAATCAGTGTAAATAACAGAATTGGTGAATTTTGAAACAAGCAAACAATGCGTCCACCTTTAATATTGCACGGTGGCTACACAATGAAGAGATCAGAAACTCTCTGGCAGCCAGCAGATTTTATACAATTTGTTCATTATGATCATGTCCATTCACATGAAATTATCTGACACTCAAAGCTAACAGGAATTATTTCTCCCCAAATGAAATGCCACAACTTGTTATTTGCCACACACCTATATTGTGAATGTTTCTTTTTCTCACATATTTTGTTTGAAAATTGCAGCAAAACAAGAATTTGGTGAAAACGAAAATATCATACCCCAACTATTCAACTATAGTATGACATTATCTGATTGTAGTCACTGTAGATTTCAGACAGATGCCACAATTATTGACGATTCCAATTCAGCATATGTAGCTTGTCCCTGGGGCAGAGAAAACCTCTACAGGGAACTGACCAGATGGACAGAATGACTCTTTTAAGAGTGAGATAGAGGAATCTCAACCTGAAGGGGGAAGATTTGTATGATCAGAAACATGAGGTTTTCGGCTAGTGTTTGGCAACTTTAGGATCTTCTCTGAATGATGAAGTTCATGCCTCTTACCCCACAGGGGTGAATGAGTATTTTTTTCTCACACCATTATTTCTAGGGAAAAGATAAGAAGTCTTTACCTACCAGGGGAAACGACAGCTCACATACGTTATTATTCTGAAAACGTCACCCTTGACTCATCACATTATGCAGCATAAAAAACTAATCTCACATTTTGTACACCTTTGATGTGTGCTTGGTACACAATTACAACATATTTTTATGGTAGGAAAGTGTGGAAGAACATTCAAACCTTCTTCCAGAGCAAAGCCTCAATGCTAAAATTCTAAAATCTTATCCTTGGGTTTTTTAATCGAACAGGGAAGAGAGATTCTATTAGTCTCACACCAGTCCATGGTAAGAGAACAACAGATAAAGTAATTCAAACCAAAAGGGATGAAGTTTCTGTTTTCTTCTAGCTTATTTTGATGTCATAATCGCTCAACCTTGAAGGCCTGAAGTTGGACAAATAAATTTCAATGCACCAGCTGGGCACGGGGAATTGCTGGTCAGGTTGGCAGGAAAGAGATATCCTACACTACCACATTCATTGTGACTGCTGTCTTACATAGTACATAAAGATATTGATTACACCAAATAAGGAGGCATAAAAAAGTATCCAGTGTATGACAAGGAATTAGTAACCGCTGTTACAGAGTATATACCCACTGATTATGTTTGGCGGTGGGTAATATGATGCTGAACCAACAACCTCCTCATAAGATGGCGGTGGCGCTAAGGGGTGGTCGGCCATTGTGTCTTTGTAAAATGAATATCTCTACAATACAAAAGGAAGCCAATTAATAGAAATATACATATTACATGTTTAAAGTCAATCTACCCTGTATCATTCTGAACACACCACTTAAAACTTGAACCAAGTTTTAAAAAGAAAACCAAAAGCCAACAGAACCAATTTCTTCCTCAGAGTTAAAGCTGACAGTGCAAGCTAAAAGGCTTTCAGTCAGCATTTGAAAAAAAAAAGGTTTTATTATTTTCTGGTTTTTGGATAATGTTCCCCACCCTCGATATCCAGGGGTTACGCTCACTTTCACTTGTAGAAAGCGAAAGTGAGCGTTACCCCTGGATATCGAGGATGGATGTTCCCAAGTGACTTTCTCTTCATGATCAGCTATTGTTTCGAGGACCGACATTTTAGTTTGTGCTTGCTTAATTGGTAACAAATATAGGTCTCCTTGGGTATAAAAAGTGCATTACTACTAAAACCGGTTAACATTCCATCTTGCAATTAAATACACTGCGCATCCTGATCGGCTTGCTTTCACACAAGATGGTATTACTAGCGGGATATCTGAAAGGTAGGCATTAGTTGTATGCATTTTTCTTTCAGGGGCGTTTTAATTTTTTTGGGGTGGGGGTGGGGGGATGGGATTATGCGTTGAAAATTTTAATTGGTCGTAAATTTGTACTTTCCTGAAATAAATAATATGTTTGATGTCTTCCATTTCCACATTCTTCAACTGATTTGATGAAAAATGTTGGTTCAAAATCGTCAAAGTGTTCTATTTATTGTAGTGTCACCTTGCGCACACATTGAACAAATGATAACCAGTTTGACAGGTTATATGCTTTTTATACCCAGGGAGACCCATACTCGTTACCAAGCAAGTACATTCTAAATATTGGCGCTTCCTTAGATAACCCCGACAGCCGGAAGAGATAGACACTACATGGGGAACATCTCAAAACCAGAAAAAAAATGAAACTTTCATTTTTTTAATCTTGTTTGAAGAGTTTTAACTTGCACTGCACTTTACAGTTTTCCTGGGTTTTTTCCTTCAATAGTGTGGTGTACATGTGTTTACACATCAATGGCTGGAGACAAAAAAACAACATTTTTTATGTAAAATCTAGAAGCAGTTTCTTAAGACTTGTTAATTCAAACTTCAAAAAGACCTGTGTTATACAGAGAATACTATAAGCAGTTTCGACCATTTGTGACACAGTCACGGTAAACACACATATATAACAGTTGGTAATAGCCATTGTTTATTCATAGATTTAAATCAGTCACATATCAAGTACATGTACAGGTGGTAACAACATCTCATATTAGTACAGTAATATAAACTCATATCTTCTTTGCGTTGTGTCTCAAATCTTCCAGTCAATGTCTCAAACCTTCCAGCTAAGTAAGGTAAGCTGTATCAAATCCATATCTCTCTAGCTTCTAAGACATATACCTAGACACTCTCCCTGGCATATAAGACCTAGCTGTTCCTTCTGCTGGCTAAAACCATACCCTCCTCCCTCACTCTGTCTCGGTGTGCCCCCCTCTGCCCTATCATACCGCTGCTGTCAGTAATTATTAGTCCTACTACTACTATAGTAGTGCTCAACACACTGTCTAAACAAAAAACCAACTGACAGCGCAAATCCGGATTTACTCGGAATGATTCGCGCGCTTCCCATATCCAATACAGAAGTAGAGGTGTTCCGAACAGGGGGTGCATTACGAGAATTGTTATCACATGGGGGGGTGCATTAAGAGAAACTTATCACACGGGTGACCGGAAGTGGTATCAGGAGTGGTCAGAAGTTATCAAATATGCAAAAACACTCATATTTTGAGTAAACATATGATAAATAAGCCTACCTCTACTATACTCCCCTGCTGGTAATTAAGCCTACCTCTACTTTATTCCCCTGCTGGTAATTGAATAGGCCTATCTCTACTTTACTCCCCTGCTGGTAATGATATAAGCCTACCTCTATTATACTCCCCTGCTGGTAATTGTATAAGCCTACCTCTACTATACTCCGCTGCTGGTAATGATATAAGCCTACCTCTACTATACTTCCCTGCTGGTAATGATATAAGCCTACCTCTATTATACTCCCCTGCTGGTAATTGTATAAGCCTACCTCTACTATACTCCCCTGCTGGTAATTAAGCCTACCTCTACTTTATTCCCCTGCTGGTAATTGAATAGGCCTATCTCTACTTTACTCCCCTGCTGGTAATGATATAAGCCTACCTCTACTATACTCCCCTGCTGGTAATTGTATAAGCCTACCTCTACTATACTCCCCTGCTGGNGATATTAGCCTACCTCTACTATACTCCCCTGCTGGTAATGATATAAGCCTACCTCTTCTATACTCCCCTGCTGGGAATTAAATAAGCCTACCTCTACTTTACTCCCCTGCTGGTAATGATATTAGCCTACCTCTACTATACTCCCCTCCTGGTAATTATATAACCCTACCTCTACTATACTCACCTGCTGGTAATGATATAAGCCTACCTCTACTATGCTCCCCTGCTGGTAATTGTATACGCCTACCTCTACTATACCCCCCTGCTGGTAATGATATAAGCCTGCCTCTACTATACTCCCCTGTTGTTAATGATATAAGCCTACCTCTACTATACTCCCCTGCTGGTAATGATATGTAAAAGTGGAAATAATTCGGATACTTAACATTCGATATTTACGATTGACAGTTCACCACGTTTCGTCAATCATCTTGTTGTTTTCACATTCGGAACCTAGTTACGTAACCGGAAGTGTTCCGAGTAGCTTTGCTCGACTATTGCACGTGCAAAGTGCCGTGTTTCTGTCTATATAAAGCGGTGGTTTTGTATAGTTCGTCAGTCAGAAGTAAAGTCCTCGTAAGACTGCCTGACTCACTCTTTTGCTCCTTCTTTCTAAGACTAGTTAGGTAATAATGTAGGGCCAGCAATAATGTTTAGTGTTAGGGTTAGAAAGTAGTCTGTACACATGTCTATATAGAATTTCAACGTAGAGTCCGTCGTCTATGCTTATAGGAGTAGGCCTCGTAGCCACTAGTATTAATGAACGGTGTTGTATAGTGTGAGTAAGGGTGTGAGATATGTTATCGTCTATTGTACTGATATTTCTTCACACTTGTTGTGTTTAATAAAAGATACTGAAGTTTATATCCTTGAGTCTATGTTCATTTGCCATAGTTCATGTTCATCAATTTATAAGACCCCAATGGACCCAAGATCACCGAACCTGGGTGTTGGTTTTAAAGTGGAAAACTGCTCCTTTTACAGATATAAGCCTACCTCTACTAATTATTACTCCCCTGCTGGTAATGATATAAGCCTATACCTCTACTATACTCCCCTGCTGGTAATGCTATAAGCCTACCTCTACTATACTCCCCTGCTGGTAATTGTATAAGCCTACCGTGGTGCTACATTCATCCCCATATCATATCAACATATTTTGTTTGAGTTTGGTAGAGCTCACTTTGTTATACATTGAAAATTATATAGCTGTTCCTAATAAATAGGAACACTGAAGTTGTTATTATACAAGTATATAATCCTCAAAATTTTAACTGTTAATTTCAATCACAACAAATAATTTTACATATATTTTTATAAAAAGATAACATTAATGAGATATATAAAAATATTTGTTATTTTTACTTTCTTGCACTTGAAAGAGGTAAACTGAACAATAAATGTTATCTTTGGTTTTTGATGCTTAAACCTTATGTAGGTGACCTGATGCCATGTCTGCCCTTCGGCTCAAAAACTGCCTAAACAATTGAACATTTACCAAATGCGACTATTATTTTGTAAATTGTAATGTCGTGCAATTCTTTTTTACATGCTGTAAATCGTCGCCCGTATATCATGGTCCAAATATGTAGCATGCAATGTGCAAGTTTTAAACACACAGAGTCAGTATTGAGCCACGTCAATCTTCGAACTTGGGCTTTAGGACTAATATGTGAATCTGATTATAATTATAAAACGCTGGCCCTGGCATGTTTCCGCGTTTTGGCATTTGCGACGTAAGCTTAGCCTACAAAAAACCCTGATAAACTGTCTTCAATAGACATAACTTTCTGATTATCTATTAACATGTTAACAGTAACGTGTTATCTTGAGATAATCAGAGATTTATCAGGAGACTTTTCTGCTTACCTCGACTGGCCAGCCTCTGCACCTTCGTTGCTGTGTTCTTGTTGTTATCACTTCGGGTATTTCAACAGAATGTCGATCGTCCTAATTCCAACCAACCAAATGCCGCATATTTTTAGAACGTGACACCCAAACCCCATCGGAACACCTCGTGTGTGTTCAACTTATCGTTATTACAAGCTACCCGTTATGTAATTATACATTAAAGATGCATGTTCCAGGCTTCCATAGCCTTTTTATATCGGTATGTGTCTGAAACAGTGAATTGCCTCAATAGATATCACTGAATTGACTTACGGAACACCAAATTAAGGGAAATAAACTGTAAATTAGGACGGTGTGAACAAAAATTGGGGCGTGAGGGTTTTGGGCCAAATTGTCTAGCTGTTATTCAAAATTTTGCACAGTTATATTTTCAAAATAATAAATGATGGTTATGATTCAATTACAGATCTATCCATTTTACAATAAGATAAGTATAATTAAAATAGGAGAAATTATTACACCTATCCTCAATTGAACAATATTCCATCTTCCATAATCTGAATGTAGATAGATCTGAGCTAGAATAACGTCGAAAGTAGTTATATGAGTATTATGTAACTCATATGAAATAGATGAAGATGCTATTCATTTAATATGAATATGTCTGCGATATAATGGTAAACGTAGACGATATAAAAACCCGCATATGCTATAAAAATCGTTTGAATACAAGAAATTTGTGAGACATTGGCAACGTTTTGTAATATAAGTGTTGCATTGAATGAAGAACTGGATTCTATCAACCAATGGGCACATCGCTGGAAAATTAACTTCAATACCCAAAACACGAAAGGATTAACTGTATCTAGGAGAAATAGTAATCATCCCCCATTGTCTTTGATAATCTAGTTCTACCAAATAAAATAACTCATAAACACTTACGATTCTTATTAAATACTACGGGAACATCGGGGATCACATTCATGATATTTATAATAAAGCATGTAAACGTTTAAATATATTAAGAATGCTTAAATACAAAGTTGATAGGAAATTATTGGAGACATTATACATTTATCGTGTGTCAAGCCTATTCTAGGGTATGCAGATGTTATCTAAAATAACTGTTTAATTGGTGAAGCTAATCTTCATGAATCAGTTCAAATAGAAGCCATGAAAATCATATTCAGGGTTAAGATATGGTAAATCTCATCGTAAATTATATCTCGAGAAAAATATGAAGACATTGAAAATAGGAAGAAATAAACATAGAATAATTCTGATGTATGAAATAATAAATCACTAAACTCAGGACTTTCTCTACAAGATAATAGAACCATTCATAAATAATAATAATAATAATAATAACCCGTATGGTTTAAGATTTTTTAATGTACCGCAAGCAAAGACTTATATTCATAAGAATAGTTGCTTTCCTGATGCTATGAACTTATGGAATCATCCAGACCCTTCTATAGCAACTGCTAACACACTTGAAATATTTAAACATAAATTACATCATTATTATAAAATGTGAACACCAACTTTCTACAATATAATGGACTAGTAAATGCACTCAAACATTTTCTAAGAAATCATAATGTTTATTTAGAAAAGATCTCTCTGCCAGCTATACCTCAGCTTTTGGAAATATTTTTCAAGAGAAAAAGAGGATCAAAATATTTTTATAACTGTATTATTACTCCAACATTGTTGCCAACTGGGATCAGAAAGTGGAACCAGGAGGTGGACTTTGATAAAGAAAGATGGGCCAAGATATTTAGAGTAGCTTTTTCAGTCACTAATAGTTCAAAATTACAGTGGTTCCAATTTAGAATTATACATCATTTTTTGGTTACAAACACTTTCCTTTATAAAATAAACCTAACTGCTAGCCCTTACTTTATGTAACATGGAACATGAGACAATACTTTATTGTTTATGGGAGTGTCGAGAGGTGCAAAATTTACTTTACTTGGGGGAAATAAAGATTGATGATGATGATGATGATGTAATCATGTGGATAATGAAATTTCAATTCTTATTAAACATTATATCTACAGAACTAGATGCCTCAGCAACTCCCTAAACCTCAATGCACTCATCAATGTTATCAAAGATCATTTCCTGGTTCAAAAAATTGTAAATAACAGTAAAACTGAGCTTATTAAAGAGCGTTTTGAAAAAGGTTGGAGAAAATGAAAACCTCTTTTAGAACTATAGTGATAGTTATTACCAATGTTATCGCTATTAATAACCCTTATATAAACATCACTAACTTATAATTTTGGTTCCAGTTGGCAACTTTGAACACTTATGCATGACCATTTTAACCCTGGGTTCGCCCGATTAGCTCACTATTCCACTCAGTTTTATATCTATATATCACGAAACCATGCCTCTCTGATCTTGTCTCTCCCCTCTCTCACTCTTTCTTCCTTTGCTCTTTTTGCCCGTTCTCTTTCTTTTTCTTCAAATGTGCGTAAACAAATGTGTACATGTATTTACGATGTGTGTTTATGTGTGTGTGTTGGTATGTGTGTGTGTGTGTATGTGAGTGTTTTCTCTTTTAATATGAGTGACAAATATTGACATTATGGATGTGTTTAATCTTGAAATGAAATTGAGGTAATTATTTAAACAATAACTGGTTGTCTGGATGTAATTATTGTTGATATAATTACAAGTGGCCTCCGGTAGATTTGCCAGAGGCCACTTGTAATTATATCAACAATAATTACATCCATACAACCAGGTATTTTTTATATTTACATATTTTTCTTTTTTAAGACATATTCCTACAAAAACCATTTGCCCTGCCTCAAAATACATTTCAGGCGGCCATTTTGTTTGTTTACATATTCCTACACCTGAAACAGGCAGTTGTAATTATAGTCGAGCAGTTGTAATTATAGCCTATATAATTACACTNACTCTCACAAACAAGTGACGTAACAATCAATACCTGCTCCCAAGAGAAGATAACTCTGCAATACGCAAAGACGGAATTGGTTCCCGCCGCGACACTACTCACCAGGGGGCGCGCGTGTACTAGGGGGTTACTCAATCGCAACTTCTCGGCCAATTCCGGCTAGGCGCGGAATCATTGGCCGAGAAGTTGCGATTGGGGGGTTACTACCGATGCCAAGATGGCGGACGAGTGTTTTCAGAACTGGTCGGTACAGAAGCTGAATTGGGGAAACGGAGTGCTACTACCCATGGCAGAAAAAGTGATTTAGTTGAGAGGTAAAACATATTTTATTTCATACTGAATAAAAGCTGCATTTATTGTTGCCTTTCTATCAGTTTCACCCGTCTGCTGTTCGGGTAATCGACTGTCACTGTCGGTGTCATCGAAAGTGAAAGTAAGTTTGGGGACAGTCCGAAATACATAATTATCATATTCGTTTAATTTTTTGATCGGCGTAGATCTCCATTCCTATCAATAATGATTGAGATCAAGGTGTGAAGATAATAGGAAGATTTTAACAGTGCTTCTTTTCCTGGTTTGAACAAGCAGGGGGGAGGGGGGCGGCGGCAACAATCCCACTGTCTTCTTTCTTTTGATGTCCTCCGTCTCGGAATTGACGATTATAAACGTGTTAGGGGATTAACAACAAAATGTGATTAATTTACTTTGAGGGTTTTTGCCATAAGATAAAAGAGTTTTACATCAGGTAAAAACGGCGTTATTTAGTTGTGTATTTGTTGGAACACAGCCAGGATCTATTTGATCACAGGCATATGCATGAAGTTATTTTGAGTAATGTGCAACACCTTATAATTAAGAAAACCATTCAGTGGTAGAATCGTCCCTCTGAATAGCAGTATGCATGAGAAGTGTGTAGGTGAACTATGATGTTCTCATCAAAAGATATCAGTATACAAAAAGATGTATAGAAACACAGGGGCTCCGAGAACAAATTACAGAATATATCTGTTTGGACTGTCTCTGTAGAAATGACATTTTTTAAATTATTTTTTTGTTTCATATAACAGAAATTAAGGAATGAAATTAAATACATGTAGTGTAATAGTAGTATTACAGACCGATTTTTTTTAACTCACTAATTATAGGCTGCATATTTTTGTTTTTATTATTTTTAGATTAAAGGCCTATGAAAGAAATAGGAACTTCAGACAATCTGCTGTTTACCTGCCCGATGCCATTTGTGTGTTCGGCCAATTGTTGGATTTCAGCAATTGATACCAGATCACAAGATTATCCTTCCCAAATTGACTTGGCTGCAGATAGAGGAGTACTTCTTGTACAGATTGACAGGTATTTATAATCGAAAGATTTAAATACAATTGAGTGTCATTGGTCATGTTGCAAGTGAATTTTATTTCATTAAAACATTACACAGCATTCTAATGAGTCATAGTCCTGTAACTCTTAATGTAATGCATCCTTTGTACACTGTATTCCTATTTTCAATTACTTTTTACAATTCATAGATATTAAAATTTCTTATATAAATTTTTAATGAATAGAGCAACCAACACAAGTCAGCCAACAGTTGTAGTAATGTCATGATCATCACACCATGACCAAATCACATGGTCTCACAATGCACAGCTGACCTTTGTAATGTGTAATGTGTTATAAAATTGTAATGTGGAATAAAATTGAAAGTACTAAGCTTAAATGCAGTCATAGGTTGGCAAGCAGACAGTTAGAGCCCTTAATTTCTACCAATCTTTTATAAATATTCATTGTTTCAAAATGACCCAGATTTACTGCAATTCAACTTCAGACTTTTTTTGGTAAAAATCATTTATATCAATACTTTTACAGATTACTGAAGAAGGTGCTCGGGAGTTGGGAGACCCAAACCAAATTCCAAGTGAAAAGTAAAAATAAAATGGGTGGAGGAGAGACAGTCGAGGATTACTGCATCTAGGTTTGGGGAAGTAACACATGCCACCTGTCATTGAAACATGGGGGAACTTTGTGAGAGTCTTGTTTCATCTTGGACTCTTAACACAAAAGCCATTCAGCATGGACAAAATTATGAAAAGAAAGCTTAACCAAATTTGAACAAACAATGATGTTACATGTGAAGAGGGCTGGACTGTTTGCACACCCGAAGTATCCATATCGGGGGGCTTCACCTGATGGAATCAACGATGAAAAGGCTACACTTGAAATAAGATGTCCATTTGTAGGTTGCACATCATTTATCACAACCAGCAAGATGTTTCCGTTTCTTATATATGATGTACTTTGTTGTACATGTATATACATGTACTTTTGTAGACATGCTTGTCCAAAAGATAGAATTTGACACTGAGTACTGTGAATTCAGTCCGTTACCCACATTAAACCTATATTTTGTGAAACATTTCATGACTTACATTGCTTCTCATATGTAAAAAGGTCATGGTCAATATCCTTGTTACTTTCTATAGATTTTTATTGTCAATATTATCATATTTGCTGTAATTTGTACAAAGGGCACTCAAAAATTGTTGAAATGGGGTTCTTATTCGGGTAATAAGACGAGCTTAAGCAGAAAAACGTAATTTCTACTATATATATAATCATGATCATTAGAAAAACTGTGACAAGACAGCATTCAAGTCCCTTGTTTTTTAAAACTTATTTGTGAGCATCAAATCCACGATCACCAGGCGTAAATACCTCCTGAAAAAGGAGGAGGGGTACTTATTGAGTGAGGAGCATTAATTATGGCAAAGATGGTATAAGAAATATCTTAATGGTTGACAACTTCAAGATATATATTCATTTAATATATACATGTACGTGTATCTAAATTTATCTTGCAATAAGCCCAAATCAATGTAGTTTGCAGTCACCAAACATGAAAGTACATTTTTTATGTATTTTACAGTAAAGATTGCTAAAAGTTTTCTCGACTTGGAGACACAAATTAAATTTCAAGCAACCATTATAGAATGAAAGACGAGTGAATAAGAGAAGGTGGGCTTATTTATGTATAGTGTAGTACATGTAGTTTATACTAATGAAACAATATGTCAAGTATATTGACAAGGCATTTTTGTCCACTAAGGGGGCTCTGAAATTAAGAAGTGAGAATCAAATACACTGTATAAATAATTCTTGTTGCAGGAAAATCCAGTCCAGTACTGGACTGCTTTAGCAATGTTACAACAGTTATGAAAGCTTCACATTCCACATTCACCAATGTTATATTGGATCCCTGTACTGACTGCTGTGATTGAACTATCCCCAACAATTTCTTCAGTTTGCAGTTTCATCAATATTGCCTGGTGGCAGCTCCACTTCCTGCTCCACATCACC